TTTCGAAATAATTATATTCATCAATTAAGTGGTGGAACAAAACGTCGATTACATGCTGCTATAGCATTAATTGGTATTGTATTATATTTATTTAAATAAAATTCTTTATTTTCTTTGTTTTGTGTAGGACCACCATTAGTAGCTATTCTTGATGAACCAACAACTGGTGTTGATCCGAATGCACGTCAACAAATGCAAGAAATCTTTTTAAATGCTGTTAAAGCTAAATTAACTATTATTTTAACAAGTCATTCAATGGATGAATGGTAAAGAATATTTAATGAATAAAATGAATTATAACTCATGTGTTTTTTTTCCTACTTTTCTAGCGAACGTGTTTGTAATCGTCTTGGTATAATGGTTCGTGGTCAATTAGCTTGTTTAGGTACAATTCAACATTTAAAATCTAAATTTGGTCGTGGTTATACAATTGAAATCAAAGTTCATACAATTCCTGGTGATACAAATGCAATGGTAATACAAAATGTTCAAAGATTTTTATTATCACAACGACAATATCAAATTGAAGTTAAAGAAACAACACATTCAACAGGTTTATTTCAATGTGGACAAAGTACACCGGCTGAATTATTTCAATTACTTGAAGAAAATAAACAACAATTACATATTGAAACATATACAATATCACAAACAACACTTGAACAGATATTTTTATCGTTTGGAAAACAAATTCAAACTAGTACAGATGAATAAATTGTGAATCATTTATTTCAGAAGAAAAAAAATATTTTATTTTCAAATACTTTTCATGTAATTATTCAAGTTTATTTTAATAAAACTAATTCATAATCAACACATTTTTTTGGTAAAACACCTAATCGTTCGTAAACTTTTTGTGCGGAATAATTATCTGAAGCTGTTTGCCAGATAATCGAATGAATACTATGATATTGACGAGCTTGTTCTTTACATGCTTCTATTAAAGCACCAGCAATACCTAAACCTCGTGCATTTGGATTAACATATAAATCACTTAAAATAGCTTGTCGACCTGGCTGTGGTATGAAAGTCCAAGACCAAAATAATGCTGCAAAACCAACTGCTTGATTATTTTCATTTCGTGCTAATAAATAAATACCATTATGTTTTGTATCATTTAATACATCATGACAAAGAATGGTAAGTTGTTCAGTACTTGGTTTAGCTACATGTGGCTCATCTGAATCATCACAATAAGCACGCATAAGTGGAATAAGTTCTGGTATATCTAATTCACCAGCCACGTGTATGGTAACAGAGGACATCTATTGTGTACTATATGTTGATGCTCGTTTGTTATTAAATATCTCGATAAAGAAAAATATAAAAACAACAACAGGTTTTTGTCTTATTCTATTATCAGTTTTTATTATACTAAAATGTCAATAGAAGAAAGTGAATCACGATGGAATATTGATATTGTTAATGAAAATGATTTAAATGATTTATTACCATTATTACGAGAATATTGTGAATTTTATAATCAGACGGAAAACATTTCTCAACCAACTGATGATGCACTTCTGTCAGTATGTCGTGCACTTATAGCCAATCCAAATCAAGAAGGTATTCAATTGATTGTTCGTGATTGTAAAGAACGAAAAGCAATTGGTTTTGCAACTATTTTTTGGGTGTGGTCAACATTAAAAGGAGGTCGTCTTGCACTTATGAATGATCTTTATGTTAATGAAAAATATCGAGGACAAGGTTTAGCTGATCAACTTATTGCTGCATGTGCAAAAAAAGCACGTGAACATGGAGATTTATGTTTAACATGGCAAACATCTGTTGATAATAAACGTGCACAAACGGTTTATAATCGAAGTGGTGCATTGAAATGCGACCGTTGGCTTGATTATTATCTTGATTTGTAAAAGTTTTTATTATCAAGTGATTTTTACAATAAAAACTTTCCATTTTCTTTATAGAATAAAACTAAAATATGATTGAGAATGTTTTATTCTAGTTTATAGATAATAATGATTGAATTTTTAAGTTCTTTTTATTTTTACAACTTTTCTATTCTCACCTTTAATTACAATTATTATTTTAAGTCTCTTATCAGTATTCTGGTCGTTATCTATAACTCTGATTGTATGTATTCTGTATGGTTGTTGGATGTATTTTGATCGAGATACTGATTCACAAGGAGGTCGATGGTCTGAACGCTTACGTCGATTATCTATTTGGAATTATTTTACAAATTATTTTCCTTTGAAATTAATTAAAAGTGAAGACCTTGATGCAAACCGTAATTATATATTTGGTTTTCATCCACATGGATCATTTAGTTTTGGTGCATTAGGTAATTTTGGTACAAATGCAACATATTTTTCTAATCTTTTTCCAAATATTCGTTCACATTTAATGTTACTTCATCTTCAATTTTTATTTCCATTTACACGTGAAATATTACTTAATCTCGGTGCATGTTGTGTATCAAAAAATAGTTTTGAATATTTTTTAAATGGTAATCAAGGTAAAGGTCATGCTTTAGTTGTTATTATTGGTGGTGCACGTGAGATGTATTTAACAAAAAATGATACAATGATATTATATTTAAAGAAAAGAAAAGGTTTTGTTGAATTAGCATTAAAACATGGGTATTAGAAATTTTTTTTAAGACTAATTTCAACTAATTTTCTTTTATTGATAGAGCTTCACTCGTACCTGTTATTTCATTCGGAGAAAATGAATTATATCAACGATCTACTTGTTTTAATCTACCTTGGGGTCGATTTATATTTGGACATATACCACTTCGACATCGTATAACCACTGTTGGTAAGTTAGAAATATCTATTTTATTCTTATATAAAACAAAAATAATAATACATTTTCAGTGGGTAAACCAATTCATGTTAAACAAAATATTAATCCAATATCTCAAGATATAGATGAAATTCATAATGAATATATCCGAGCTGTAGAACAACTGTTTGAATTCAATAAAAATAAATATGGTTTAGGACATGTCAATCTAGAAATTGTTTGGTCAAACAGATAATAATGAAGAATTAATTGTCTAAAAATTTTCTCTATTATGACATCGATATAAATATAATTTATTTGTTGCTTCAGACTATCAGAAATACTCTATGTGATATTTCCTTGGTATATTTTAACGAATCTACTATATATAGTTTTTCTGTAAATCTTGATCGAAATATTTTAAAAGTTAATTGAAAAATACATTATTTTCTGTAATTCTATCAAGGAAATGCGATAATTTATTGTATGAAATGAAACTACTAACACTGTTATAATATCGCTCGTCAAGATTGCCAATTCTGTGCTGAATTATACTCAACGACTATGAAATACGGAAAAATGAAACTGCGGATCCATTGTAACTTATATTTTCACATGACCTATTACTTAACTTAGGTGAATAATTAACATTCATATTGTTTGTTTTCGAAGATCATGCTGTGTGTGTATGTCGAAAGAAAACTGTGAATATCGACTGAGTGGTAACTATAACCGAAGAAATGTATAAGTTATTGTTCTCAGTGGTATGCCTGAAATATAGGCAACAAGAAATGATACTATGATATTTTATATTAAACAAAGAACAGCTTTTATTAGAATAACATTGAAATATGGATTTTTCAGAATTTTACTTATATTTATATTATGTCATTTGAAGACAATGAACTTTATGATAGACATGTAATTGATTTATGATTGAAAACATACTACTACTACGACATTCTATGGTCATGGTTGATAAGATAAAACTATATGTGTCTTATTGTCATACAAAGTATAATAGCACATTTTCTAATTGACAAACTGATTATTATCAGTCAAAATGTTAACCTAAGTTCTGACGTTATAGATCAACTTCATAATCAATATATATATACAAGTAATTGAACAACTGTAGAAAGATAATAAGAATAAATATGATTTGGGACATGTCAAAGTAGAAATCATTTAGATGCGTAATAGTTAACAACAACAACAAAAATAAGATTGTTGCTTAAAGAACGATCAATCAAACTATAATGAGTATGATGACATTGAGTAACTTACATCGCATAACCTATTAGTCTCATATACCAACTAACATTCGTTCATATTATGACATAGTGTTTAGTTGATTGAGCCTTTTTCTCCTCTCTCTCTCTCTTCCTCTCTTGCTGTGCATATGTACAAATATAGATAGAATGACTGAACTCTTCAAGCTATATGTACGTATATATGTATATGAGTAGTTGACACGCCACTGTACCAAGGTCAATACACCACATACGCAATTATTTTCATGCATGATGGGAACAAAAGTAGATTAACGACGCATCATTCTTTCTCACGTATTGTTCTATCTCATATAGTTCATGTTTATTTTAATATACTGAACAATCATTCTTATTTTTTCTTTTGATGTCGATAATATACTCATCAACTAAAAAATATATTATATCATAATCATTTGTCCTTCATCAAGAGTTAATCAATCTTTTTTTTTTTCTTCTTACAGTAACTCAGTTGATAATAATAATAATTTAATATATATCGATTACGGTTCAAGGCAAGAAAAAAAAGAAAAACTTTGATTGTTTGCTATCGCATGATTGCTATTAGCTGTACATCAATTACATCCATACATATATATATATAACTTTATATGAATATATTATTTCGTTAAACGTTAATCATAAACACACACGACAAACACACACAGAAAATTGAAGATTACAAATAATGATTTAAAAACAAAAAAACGAAAACAAAAACAAATGTTCGGTTAATTCACACATCGGTTGTTGTACCACTGTCACTTGCTGATTCAGCTGTAGTTGCTTTTAAATTATCATAAGCATCATCAGCTGGAAATGGTTGTTGTTTTTCTTGTTCATATAATTTTCTTCGTTTTATTAATGTAATACGTTTATAAACAACAAGAGCACTAATCATTAATAATATAAGAACAGAAGCAAATATAATAAGTATAATAACTGTTCGAAGTATATCATTAAATAATGAACGTTGATGAATAATAATTGTTTTATCATCGTCTGGTAATTGTTTATTATGAAAATATTTTTTAAAAAAATATTCTTTCCAAGCATTTTCATCATCAGTTGATATTGAATCATTGAATAGATCAGGTGGTGATTCAATATTAACTTTAGCTGAAAAAAGAACAACATTTTCATTTTTCATATCTTTTTTCATTTTATTATCCAATGTAATTGATGGTAATTCTGGTTTATATAAAATACAATCATAATCAACAATAATATGTTGAGAATGACTATTAACCTTTGTTAACCATGGACATGTTGATGAGTCCATAAGAATACATTGAATTGATATTGAACATGTACGATGATTATTACATGGTAAATAATGTTTATTGAAACGTTTCTGACATGCACTTCGTGCACAACCATTACCTGTATAAAAAATAACTGAACGTAATTTAATAACAAAATTTAATGGACATGATAGAAGACGTGTTGTATTATTTAATGTCTTCTCATTTAAACAACAACTTTCAAATTCATAATTCCATGATGGTAATATATGAATAAAGAAAAATATACAAAAATAAAATAATATACGAGAAATCATTTTATTTTTATATTTTTAAAACATCTACAATAAATATAAATAATATTTATTTTATTTTTTTATATTTAAAAATTTTTCAATAAGATATTATTGAATACATACATGTAACTATTGAAACACAAAAGACTTTCTCTCTCTCTCTCTTACATTGTATTTTATGTATATTTATATTCGAATTCATTCGAGTGTCCATTCTACATAAGTATCGACATAATTCTTCTAAGATAAATTGTTTATAGGGATCAGTATTCTGTTCTTACTCGTTATGAACTGTAACAAATACAATTGTATTTCTCTCGTTCTTTTCTTTCTCTCATGGTATTGCATATAGTAACAACAACAATACCAGCAGTAAACCATCCAAAGATTAAATGATCTCTCTTTCTCTTTTCCTATTCTTTTTTTTTTGTTATATGAATTGGTGATAGGTTTATACACAGACGCTATTACTGATGGAGCTTCTTTCATTACTTATATGAACATTATATGACCATGCGTCTGACAAGGCTTTGTATATATTTGGATGACATACAGCACTTCACTGATGGACGTTCAAGGTTTTGACCATGAATATTCTTTGGTCTCTCTCATATAGTATTGATTATAGTTAATGAAAAAAAAACAATCTACAATTATTATCATTATATTCACCAAAATATTCATTGATTATTTCAATCAATATATCATATTAAGTTCCCTATTGAATAAAAAAAAATGAGTGACATATACATATGTTTTTCTTTTTTTTCTTTCTTCACAATTGATACTGTTCAAATATACAATTCTTTATTGTATTATCAACAAATTAGATGAGCTTTGTTCATATTATAATCGACCTTTTTAGTTTTTTGTACATATTCTTGTCAAGGTTAAAAGTAAAAAGACAATTATTATCTCATAAGGAATATTATCAAAGCAATGCTAACAAGCTCATTTTTCTCTATATCTATACGGATAGCTTAAGGACATCGATTTATAGCCGATGGAGAATATGTAATATGGATAGCATATATACATTAATCGTTTAGATATCTTACGTCATCTTTTTTTTCTTCTCTATTGAATAAAATTCTAGTTCTGTGTGTTTTTTTATTATATTGTCATAGTAATTGAAGAAAGGAAAAGAAAAAAAATAAACTAACATGACGTATTTATTTTTAACTATAAGACAATAATAAAGAAATGTCGTTTTATTCTACTTTTTTTTCGTCAACGGAATTCAATGGCATCATTACGATTAAAAGTTCAATTAGGTGATGAGAAAAAAATCTATGCTCGAGGAAAACCTTTATTTCGTAAATTTATCTATTCGATTGATTCATCATCAAATGAAACTATTGGTGAACTAATTCGAAAATTACAAGATTATATAAATAAACATTTTTCACATTTTAATATACGATTAGTACAATTAATGACACATGATGGTTTTATATTATCGAAATCAGATTTATATTCATCTGTACTTAAAGATAATGATCATATTATTTGTATCGATATGAGAAGATTTATTGATGAATATTTTATATGTTTTGAAGATAATACTCTATGGTTAGAACGTAAACAATATGATGCAACTAATAACAAAGAAAAATTTATTCGAATTGGTCTTAATAATGTTTCAGAATTGTTTATAAGATTATTTGGAACAGTTAATGTTTCTGGTCTTTACATATTTGGTATATATGAATTAATTAAAATCGCTAATGAAAAATCAGCAGGTAATTAACACATTTTTTGTCGAAATGATCATATGACGATGGATTGATATATAAATTTAATATTTAGATAAATTAATTGCTCGACTCGATGGTACAATGGATTCTGATCAATCAACTTCAGCTGATTGGTTTCTTGAATGTAAATGGGAATATGATACAACTTCGAATA